AAAGAAGTGCATTGGATGGTGTGGCAAAAGGTAAGTGGACAAAGACAGTGGGACGGAGGGAGTATGTTACAATAAGGAGTCATTCGGCCGAGTCATTGGCATTTTTGTGTTGATCACCGGGTGCTTTATGATCTCACTGTTAAAGATAAATATCCAATACCAGTCGTTGATGAGCTTAAAGATGAGCTATAAGGAGCTCCATTTTTGAACAGGCGGTTCGGGCATTGATACGACAAACTTATTGGATGCGGAAGGATTTTGAGCGCCTTCAAGCTCTAAAAAATTGAGAGATTGAGGAGGAAGAATTGAAGGAGAAAATGAAGAAAGTTGAGAGGGTGAGAAAAATGGGGAGAATTAGGATTCTTGTAAAAATGATTTCTTTATTAATTATTATTATGGGAGGATTAAACTCCAGATATATAGGAGGGCTTCCAAACCCTAACCCTAATAAATTAAATCTCCAGCATGACGGTTCAATAAATGCATCAGGTAAAGAATCGAAAAGAAATCCTCGAAAGAGCTTATAAATCGCTCCCCTAATAAAATCTAAACTAATAATAATAATAAATATGATAATGATAATAATAATAATAATAATAATAAATACTACTAATAAATAATTAAATATCATATTTCACCATCCGTAACAGCCACCAGTCACTGGTATCGGTGGCCGGCGGTACCGATGGTGGAACCGGCCCTTCCGATTCCAGGCCCGGTTCTGAAATCTGATTGGTTGCACGGGGGACTCAAAATTCCAAACCATAGATGGAGTTTATTTCTATAAATGAAGGGTCTATTTGAACCCCTGCCTACTCCCTCATATTTAGTTAAATGGACAGTTCCTTGTTCCTTAATTTTATTGCATAAGAATAGATATATCCTTTCTTGTCTTTCCCTGATTTGGGATTTTATACTATCAGTGTTACAAGAAATAAATAAATAAATAAATACAGAATTCAATGTATGAGTAAAAAGTGCAGAACCTCTAGAAGAAATGGACTGTTTGTAAAGCCTCTGATCCTTGTAATTGGAGAAAATCACAGTGTCCCCAAATACGCTAAAGTCGCCGCCACCATATTCCTGAGCTACCGTCCTCACCGCGTAATCCTTCGGCGTTATGTCCGCCGGCAAGTCTCCTGGCCTCTCCAGCCCCTTCACTAGAACTCCGCGTCTGGGTAAATGATAAAATCCGAATTAATTTCGAGTGGATTCGAGGCGATTCGCGTACCAGGGGAATAAGAAATCATGTCAGATCTACTGCTAGGGTTACCCGGACTCAGTGGGTCGAGACTCGAGCCAGATGAGGTGGCGGAGTGAGTCGACGCCGAAGCCTCCGAGCTTCTTGGTGGAACCGGAGACGACGTCGGCGGTGATCGGGGACTTCCACGACCCGTACGGAGACGTGGTCTTGTCGGCGGCCGGAGCAGGGCGATCGCTTGGGCTATTTGTAGAAGCCATTCGCTTGCAGTTGGTATGTCGAGGATGTTTGATGAACGCTGTTGTTTTGAGTCGAATGGTATGGTTCCGTGAGGAAGATGAACGGAAGGAAAGCGCCGCCGTGTGGCTAGCGAGACTTTTGGCTATGGCTAAAACCGCCATGTAGGATTAAAATGTTAAACATGTGCTAATTTAATTGTTGGAATTTTTCATTGGCTTGAGTGTAGGCCGGTTTGGGATTAGCGTTAGCGTTTTGGATAAGATTTTAACGGTGCAGATTATTTTGAAAACGCTAATACTAAACGCTGGCCGTAGATAGCCTTTTTCAAAACGCTAACGCTAATCTCTAACGCTATTCCCAAACAGACCCAAAGTCTACTCTTCAGTATTCATTTAAGTCTACCCAGGTTTGAGTGATTGAGTTCAAGCAGAGGCTTCTTTGTACGTTATTACGTTAATAAAAATGTATGAACAGATAATATATTACGGAGTATATTTTTTTAAAAAAGTCAATAGTACTCAAAAAAATATTTTTTGTGCCAGCTCAGCTCGATAAAACAATTATAATTCAATACGAGTAATTTTTTTGCCAAAAATATTCAATATCTCAATATCTTTAAAAAATTAACATGGAGTACATGGTAAAGTTTAAGTATCTAAAAAATTAGATCAAACACGTAATTCCTTCATTTATATTTAAGTGTCTAGTTCTTTTTTCGAACTGTATGTTCGATCAACATTATCTCTTAAAAATATATTGGCAACAAAATATTATAAATAATGTATTTAAAGTATTTTTGGTACCAATAATTTAGTTTAATTTTGTACAAAATAAAAAAGTGTTAAAATAGAAATATGGAGTAAAAAATTGATTGGTCTATTACTCCCTCCGTTCTCAAAAACACTTCCTCTTTCATTTTTTCACTTACAACAAAACACTTCCACTTTCTATTAAAAAACCACTTTTACCCATACTTTTTCATACCCTACCTATCACATCATACTTTATCTCTAATAATCTATCCATCACATCTTACTTTTATGTATCACATCAAGGGCAAAATTGGAAATCAACTACAATTTAATACTTCCTTATTTTTACACAAAATCAAAAGAGGAACACTTTTTTCAAACGGAGGGAGTAGTCCCCCTTGGCCCCGTGCGAAAGGAATTTTCAATTTTATTTTGTTTATTGCTCTCGTTAATATAATTTATCTCTCTTTTGGTTTCATATAAAAAAAAAGAGGCATGTTAGAAGAACATGTTGGAGTTTTCAGTTTCCACATAAAAAAATAAAGAAAAAAATCACTCGCATATATAGAATGGTGAAGTCCTACTTAATAGTTTAAGCTATTTAATTAGAAAGTGGATCCTGACATTATATGCTTGAGACTTTCATATGATTTAACAAAAGCTAGCCTTGGGGAGCATGACATGAGACTTAGTGACGACAGGGCCCATGTGTTTGCCTTATAACTTTTATTTTCCTTTTTCTTCTGAATAATCATCTTCTCTGTTGGGTTTTATGCACGAAAATGAAAACATGGACGGTTTCACATAAGTGCATGATCATTTATCCACAATCGTGTACCACTACAAAAGTTTGTTAGGTTGGAGTTCAAAACAAAGACAAATATCACTACTATACATAAAAAGGTGAAATCTTATTTATTAGTTTAAGTTTTAAATTAGAAAGTGGATCACAACTTTATATGCAAGCAGTTAATTTTACTCGATACGTTTTTCATTGTTTTCTGCCCACCAAATTTTAACATAGTACCGAAACAGGTCCAATTTAGGTTTGATTCTTTCTAGTTGTTTTCGTAAGTTTGGAGATATGAATTGAGCAATCTTTCTGTTATTTGGGTTGAGTTGACTATAAGAGGCAATAAGAGATTGGAATGTTAGACCTGTTTGTCCAAATACTAATTAGGTAAGGTTCCGTTCCGTTCAACTTATTTTTCTGATCTGATCTGATTCTAATAAGTTCTGATCTGATCTGGTCTGATATGATCTGATCTGCTCGAATCTGATATGATCTGATTGGATCCGATCCGATCTGATCTGATCTAATTGGATCTGATCTGATTGGATCTGATCTGATCTGATTGGATCTGATCTGATCTGATTGGATCTGATCTGATCTGATTGGATCTGATCTGATCTGATTGGATCTGATCTGATCTGATCTAATCTGATCTGATCTAATCTAATCTGATTAATTATGATTTAATTTAAAATTTCAAATCAATAATTTAATTTGACTTTATAATAACGTTTGAAAATTGTAATGATAATTCATATTATAATATAATCATTTTTTTTTATTTAATGATTATTTTTTAATAAAATAAAAATAGTTAATTCATATATTAGAATAATCATTCATATTATACTGTAATAATATTTTTTATTTTATGATTATTTTTTTGTGAAATTAGAATTATACATTAGAATAAATATTTAATTTAGATATACATTTAAAAGTAATTAAATTTAGATAATCAATATATAGAAGAGATAGTATTTTTATTAAAATATCTCATCCTTATAAAAGATCAAAAGTTTAGAAACTCAAATAACAAGTTGCAATAAAAATATATTTTAAAAGTAGAATTAGATTGACATTGTCAATGTATTTTAAAACTAATTTTTCCGATGTCTAATAATTAAGGATTACTTTCTCAGTTTTCTATTTAACCTATTTCTAAAGTTTATTCTTTTTCATTTTTAAGAACAACAACAACAACAACAATAATAATAATAATAATAATAATAATAATGATGATGATAATAATAATAATAATAATAATAATAATAATAATTCTTTATGGGATCTGATTTTAATAAGTCCTGATCTGATCTGATTGGATCTGATCTGATTTGATTGGATCTGATTTGATCTGATCTGATCTGATCCAATCTGATCTGATCTGATCTGAATCGATCTGGTCTGGTCTGATCTGATCTGATCTGATCTGATTTTAATAAGAATAAGAAAAAATAAGAAAAAATAAGTTGAACGGAACGGGGCCTAAGGCTAGTTACTACTTGAGGAAGAGTATTTGAGTTTTTTTTTTTCAAAAAACAAAGAGAAAATATCAACAGCATATATAGAAGGGTGAAATCTAATCTATCAGCTTATGTTGTTGAGTTAGAATGTAGATCCCAATTTTATATCCAAGTGGTCAATTTTACCCTTCACTCTTCCTATTGTTCTCGGGTGATTAGATTTTTAATCGAGTTAATGCTATTTTTTATATCCGCCCCAAAATAGTTTTTAGTTTTTTTTATTTTTTTAAGAAAAAAATAATAAAGTTAGTTCCGAATACGGAGTGCTTCTTTTTAAATATTTTTTTAATCTTTGTGAAGTCATCAATTCGAGATGGAAGAAGTATGCGTTAATAATCTATTCCCCACAACTTTCCTCGTTTTTATTTCATCCATTTTAGAAGTTGATACAATATAATGCTAGGTTTTATTGATATGCAACCATTCGTTTTTTCATTTTGTTGATGATAAAACGACATTAGAAGATTTAAATTAAAAATCAAACTGAATAATATATTGAATTTAGAAAGGAATATAAATACGTGAATATATAAATATATATATTGTTTTGGGATTTTCCTAGGTTTTCTTTAAATTAGAACATAATCCACGTTAAGGACCTACACACCCTCATGGCTCATATAGGTATTATTGGTGTATTGGGTACATTTTCCATGTGATATTAGAATTAGCCTTTTAGCTTGGTGGACCATGTCAACATCTAACTCTTTTCCATACTCTTTATTATCTTCATTTGGGTATATATCCGATGATATGATTTAAGATTCTATGAAATGTCAAATGCTTGAATGATGATGATAAATAATCTAATACTCCATTAATAATAATAATTGACAATACCTAGTATTAGTAATAATGTTTAATAATACTGAGTAATAATAATATTTAATAATAATACAATTATTATTGTTAGCACGGATAAGCTGCGGATAATTATATAAGAAATCACTCTAAATAAGATTAAAACATATATGGAAAAGTATCAAAATAGGACTTCAGTGTTTTTATTCCCGAAATAGTAGTTCGCACAATAGTAATGAGGAGGTAATGTGGCATTATACACTTGCACGTTACTATACTTTTGGTAATGTATTTTACACGTCCATATTTTTTTAAAAGACTAAGGTAGGAGTAAAACATTGAAAATGTGTATTTATTCAAATAGTTCACTGTGTTAAGCCTTATTTGTATACGTTTTTCACACGTTCGAAAATTAAATATCTTAGATTCCGATTACGAAAATCCAAAAGATTTTCATAAAGCAATAATGTCCAAAATAAAAAAGACCCCAACCCCGCCTGGGGCTGCCGTCCCTGGACCCCGCCATGGAATTTCTAATATCGTTGAACGAGCGTGCACGTACTTACTCCGCACCTCCTAACTTGTTAACAACGTCTATTAAAATTCCTATATGATCTTAAGTTATGACACTAAAATCAACAACAACAAATATATTGGCACGAGTTGAGTATTTTGTATTCAAATGTGTGTATGTGGAAGAAAAATGTTATAAATTATTTTAAGAAAATTCTCCAGCCTACAATCACAAATTAGTTTGTGCTTTTGGGTGGTCGAATTAGTTTCCTCACATTTTTCTATCAATTGCATGAGTGCTTGATAGAATATGGACCACGCACCACCATGAGCGCCTAGTTGCCATATATCCAAAGACCGACCTGGAAAATTCCATGCCCAACACCAAATTATTTAAAGCACACCACTAATTAATAGTCCATCCGTTCCAAAAAACCCTTCCGGTTTTGACTTTGGAGAAAAATAAATAAAGTGTAATTTTGGTTGACTTTCCAATTTTGTCCCTGATGTGATGAGAAAAAGTAAGATGTGATAGTTTGATTATTAGTGAAAAAGTATGATGTGATAGGTAAGGTATGAAAAAGTAGGGGTAAAAGTAGTTTTTTAATAGAAAGTGGAAGTTTTTTGTGGAAAGCAAAAACAACGAAAGAGTAAGTGTTTTCTGGAATCTTCATCACTTTTCTCCATCATGTGATCTGTATAACCTAACCTTACCTTTTTTTTTCCTCTCCTTTTTCTCCATCATCTCATCTCTTCTCTTCTCATCTATATATGGATGATTGAATATAATATATAACAATAATAACATACCCATAACCTATAGTGCATTCAACTATGACATTCCCATTCATGAACCAAAACCTTAAACAAACCCCATACACTTCTACTAAAAGTAATTGCAAAGAACCCCCTAACCTTTTATCAATTCTCCGACACACCGTTGTCGCCTCACGTCCCTCCGACAACAACCCGATCACTACTATAGATGATAATAGTAATAGTAACAGTAACAGTAATATTCGAAGCAAGAAAAAAAAGCCACCCGGTGGCGGCGGGGGCGGTCTCCTCCGCATGTTCAAGCTCCTCCCCATGCTAACCACCGGCTGCAAGATGGTGGCGCTGCTAGGGAAGCAAATGAAGCCGATGCTGACGGACCGGGCCACCACAGGGACGCTATTCGGGCACAAGAAGGGCCGGGTCAGCCTGGCCATCCAGGAGGACCCGCACAGTCCGCCCATCTTCATGATCGAGCTGCCCATGCTGACCGCCGCCTTCCACAAGGAGATGGCGAACGACGTCGTCCGGCTGGCGCTCGAGAGCGAGACGGCCACGAGGAAGAAGAAGGTTCTGGAAGAGTACGTGTGGGCCGTGTACTGCAACGGCCGGAAGATGGGCTACTCCATCCGGCGGAAGAACATGACCGACGACGAGTGCCACGTCATGCACCATCTCCGCGGTGTCTCCATGAGCGCCGGCGTCCTTCCCGCCCCGCCGTCGGAGAGTAGCAGAAAAGATTCGGCCGACGGGGAGTTGACTTACATGAGGGCCAGGTTTGACCGGAGAGTTGGGTCCAAAGATTCGGAAGGGCTGTATATGATTAACCCGGATGGGGCTTCCGGTCAAGAATTGAGTATTTTCTTTGTGAGAGTAAGGCCAATTTAGTTTCAAGTCTCTTTTTTTTTTCTTTTTTAGTTCCAAAATCAGTTCATAAATCTTACTCGTATGGATTTATCCGACTTTTCATATTTATAAAAAATTAACAGTGTTTTTTAAAATATTTTTTTATTATTCATATTTTAGTGGCTCTTAAAAATTTTCTTCCTTTCAGCTTTGATTATAATTTTCCTATATCTCTCGAAAAATTTTGCTTATTTTTATATTTTAATTTATTATTTAATAGAATAAAATATCCTTGTTACATCTTATTTTGTATAACTTTTGACATAATATTTTAATATGCAATCTTTATTTTTTTTATCAAAATACTAATTTATAAATAAAATAATTTTAAAAGATAGATGGAGCATTAAATTCAATTGAGTATTAGACCGCATTAGCCTAGCTTGTTGGCTCAGATCAGATGCTTCTCTTCAATAAGCCCAATCATCAACAACAATGACAAATTTTTCCGTAGACTTAAAAGAAATTGGTATTTTGAAAAAAAAAATATCCACATGTAAAGCTGTAAGCCATGAAAATGTGAGAAAATTGATATTTTGAAAATTGATATTTTAGATGTGAACCTTGAGACCATGTAAGCATCACTAAAAAATAATAAGTCCAATAAATATGGGTAATTTCACCAACGGTACACGATCTTTTAACATTATTTCATTTCGGTATATAACTTTATATTCTATCAAAACAAGTATACCAATTTCAATATTCTTTAACCAAAAATTTATTAGTGGACTTTCAGTGAGTTTCAGGTGACAAGCAAGTCACCTCGCCAAAATCTTATTTTATGAATTTAAAATTTACTAATTTAGCCCCTTCGTCCTAAAACCATCCTCCCATTTGTATTTATGAGGTTTGACCAACTTTATTTTTAATTCAATTTATTTGATTGTAGGTGTAAAATTAAAATATAAAATTTACATATTTAAAAATTACATTAAAAGTTCTACAAAACGAGATGTGACTAGACTATATTATTTAATCAAATAAGTAGCGAAAATTGGTAAAGAAAGTAATTTTAAGTTTGACCATCTGAATAGTAACTGGGAAGATAGTTTTAGGATGGGTAGGGAGTAATTTGGTTTGGGGGGGGGGATATTTTTAAGAAAATTAATTTCTATAGAAGATTGTTTTTCACGAGAAGAATTTTTCTCCCATCTTTTTAGATTCTTTGGTAATAAGAAGAATTTTATTTAAAAATTATTTCTCATTATTTGTTAGAATTTCATTATATTAGCACGTCCTTGATATTTGAATAGAGAACGAAGATGTCTTAAGACAATTTAAACAAAATTTTAGGTGCATATTTTTTTAATATTCGATCGGTACCAAACTTCCATTATAGAGCTCTATTCTCTACGGTTCAGGACGCGGTGTAGTGAGTTTTTTTTTTGTTCATGAAACTAGAGGACTTGAGAAGTAAGTAAGAAAATAAATTTTCGTTTAAAGCAAACTAAAGTCATTTTCTATTTTTCTTAGTTGAAAATATTTATCTTAAAAAAAGATTCTTTACCGCTTATATAACCAAACGTATGAAATTAAAATATATTTTTTTTATCTCAACCAAAGAGATCTTATGTGTTACATATTTTTGAAGAGAAATTATAGCACAAAAAGATCCTTCATCCCCGTGCATAGCACACGAGTTAAAATACTAGTAAAACAAAATTTAACACATAGTCATAATTTAGCACCATCATTCATATCTATCATAACATACATATTTCTATCATTCCACTTCATACTTTTTTACACACCATCACGCCCCATTAAACTCCGTCAAATCCTTTCATAACACTGGTCTAAATCCTTGCTGACAAACAAGCATTGAGCTTCGCTCAATTATATCTGGGCTTCATTTTCAATGTGTTGGGGGTTTTTTGTATAAGGGCTGCTAGTAAATTGGGTCATCATGCCCATTATATCTGGACTTGGTTTTTAGTGTTGAGAGTTTTTATGCGGGTTGAAACCTAAAACCAGGCCACTCCGAAAATTGGCATTTGAGCTTTGGCCCATAACATATGTAAAATTTTTGGGCCCTTGTTATAAAAGTTATGTTTGGGCTCACGACAACCACAGGACACACCTAACACGTAAGTCTTCAAAAAAAAATATTGTCTACATGCTTCAAAAAATATAGGGCCATTGCATATTATTTTGAAAACTTTTTTAGTCTATGATTATACGGAGTAACAAATTCCTATTTTTAACTAAATTGTGTATATTTTTTCTTTTTTAAATAATAATGAAACACAAAACAGATCATACAGATAATGTTTTTTTTTTTACAGAGCTAGGTACACATATAATACGAAGTATTTCAATTGTACCCGGAGTAGCATATAGATTAATAAAAAGTAAAAAATTACTCTGTATATCTTTAATATTAAAAAGTACGGAGTAAAATAAAGTAAGAAGTGCAAATCATACTCAGTAAAATATAACCACATGAAATCATAAAGAGGAACAAAAATAGTGGGACTTAGAGTATAAACTTAAGATTTAGATGATCATAACATACACTTCATCCGTCCAAATTAAAAGTAGAAAAATTTACCTAAATAGGACTAAAATATACTCCCTCCGTCCCATAAAGATGGGTACGTTTTGACTAAAGTAGAAATTAGGGAGGGATAATTTTGTGTTGACTTTCCAAAAATACCCTTGATATGATAGGTAAAAGTATGATGTGATGTGTAGATTATTAGGAAAAAGGTATGATGTGATAGGTAGGGTTTGAAAAAGTAAGGGGTAAAAGTGGTTTTTAAATAGAAATGGGTAAGGAATTGTGGGACGCAATTTTTTTGAAATGTGTAAATCTTTTTGGGACGGAGGGAGTAATAATTTTTTCAATATAAGACCATATGTTTTTATTTCCAAATATAGGACCTTTGGTCATTATCAAGTAGTCATTATTCAACTAAATGTCTATCATAACTAGACATTATTCTTTCTACTAGGTCATTATTAAGTTCTACTTAGGGAATAAAAAAGTTTAAGTTCTACATTAAGAAAGTCATTATGTTTTAGTCCTATTTAGTACAAATTTCACTTAAAAGTAAACGTCCAATTTGATTGTTTGAGCCCAACTAGATAATTTTTAATCATTTATTATACTATGTACGTAATTAATTTTAACCAAACGTATTGGTAGATTTTTGGTGAGTCATTTGCTACAACATTAAACTTTTGATATTTGAATTGAGAAGGAAAGTTATTACATGCACCTTAGTTCATGGTGGACCTTCATATATGCTAAATAAGCATTTTCTAGTACATTGTTGAAATAAGTTTTTTTAAAATAAAAAAAATGTGAGAAGGTTCATGTGACCTCCACAAAATCACTCTTTCAAAAGAGTGTGTCTATGAATCTATGATGGACCTAAGGTCCATATGGACCTTCTCATTTAGTTTTTTTTTAATTTTAAAAATATTCATTTCAGGATTTGAAAATATTTATTTAGCATATATATGAAGGTCTATCATGGGCCTTAAATGCATGTAATAATTTGTTACGAATGAACCTAAGTTAGGGGTTTCTTTAAGATTGAACCTAAGTTAGGGGTTAGGGTTTTCTTTAAAATTGTACTGTAGACGACAAGGTTTATCATATACTCCCTCCGTCCCGTGAAACATGTGACTTTTGCTTTTTAGGAGTAATTTAAGGGTGGTGTATTTTGGTATTGAATTTTCAAAAATGTCCTTGATGTGATGGGTAAAAGTATGATTTGATGGATAGATTATTAGTAAAAAGGTATGATGTGATAGGTAGAGTATGAAAAAGTAAAGGATAAAAGTGACTTTTTAATAGAAATGAGAAGTGTTTTGTGGGACGGATGAAAAAAGAAAGGAGAAAGGTTTTATGGGACGGAGGGAGTATATACTGACAATTAAGGACACATTAATTATTGGGAATATATATATATATATATATATATATATATATATATATATATATATATATATATATATATATATATATATATATATATATATATATATATATATATATATATATATATATATATAGAAAGTTCTTGGTAATGAGGTGGTGAATAAAGTTGGTTTTAAATTTTTATATCTAGCATCATCATCAGACTAGATCGAGTAATTAGTATAATACAGTGCTAATTAGTAATAATAATTAATTAGAGAAGTTAATTAAATAAAAAATATGGGAGAAACAAACACTTTGCCCATGTGCGGGCAATCCTAAGCAGGATACGAGGGAGGGTTTTATTTTAGATACATGTTTTTCTTTATTAAAAAAGAACACTTTAATGATGTTTCTTTAGCAGTTTGATTCGAGGGAAAAAAACAAAGGAAAAGCTAAAAAAAAAGAGAAGAAGAAGAGGGAACCCACTAACATTATATTATGTGTGGAGTATAATAATCTTACGTACGTGCCCAAAAGACGACGACCGTACCCCACTTTATTAAAAAACAAAGTGGTTCTGCATGCGGCGAGTCGGCGACTTTGTTTAGTACACTGCATAAAGACGACGACCGTACCCCCCCCCCCCTCTATTTGTTTCTTATTATTGCCTTATTGGTTGGTTATAACACGTTAATTAAGATTCTATACTAATTAGTTTAATTTTTTTAATTACGTTTTCTGTAAATTTTCTGTAATTATTAGACGTCGTATGTATTATATACTCCGTATATATTTGTTGAACTTTAGCCTTGTATTTTTCTTCTTATTTTCTTTCACGACGCTACACAAGAAAAGAGCAAGCTAAGACAAGACATTTGAGAATTTTTAATTGCGATTGATGAATGTTGACGCATGTTACATTAGGTTAAGTGAGCTGGATATTTTCTTACTATTGTTATTAATTACTTGGTCCGTCCCTGAGTGTTTGTCCACTTTTGACTTTTGGAACTGTTCATCTAAGTACTTTGACTCATCAAATTCTCTCAATGTGTAAGCCTAAAAATAGTCATGTGTGATCTTGTTTGATTCGTCTTAACATATAGATTATTAATATATAATTTTTATAATTTTTAATATACAAATTACAAGATAAAATGGATTAAAGAAGTGCATTGGATGGTGTGCAAAAATGAAAGTGGACAAACACTCAGGGACG